CCGCTCTCCTCCCGTGTTTGTGTCGCAGAAGGTGATTTTCCTCCAGAAACGGAGAATCTGGATCCTGAAGACTGGAGCAGGAAGGACTTTGCTCGGGAAATGCTCCCGGTGCCTCTGGCACTTTGCTCTGGATTTCTTCATTTTGTGTCCTTTGTGCAGAGGGCTGCCTATGAGTCACAGATTTGGGCGTCGAGGACTGAGAGTTAATTTGTGCATTTTTGCCTGATAACCGGAAACTGGCAGATGCAGCCCTGGGGCCAGGGGTGGGGGGGCGGAATGCTTCAATGGGCTGTGGTCCGTTGTCCCATGTCTGAGGGCTGGTGGGATTTGGAAGGAGAGGACGCAGGCAAAGGCAGAAACGAGGAGCCAGAGTTTGGGTTTTCTGGTTGCTCCGTGGGCCTAAGGCATGGGAGCTCATCCTGCCCTCCTTAGGGGCCGTTAGCTCAGAGCCTGTCTGAATATAGGAGAGCCACACCCAAACGTGTATTGATTGTCCTTCTGTGCCTTTGAAAGAACACAAATGCTGCTTTTTTTTTATTTCCATAGAAATATCTTCAAGAGGCCCCTACCGGGTAGCTCAGTTGGTTAGAGCATCGTCCTGATACACCAAGATTTTGGGTTCAATTCCTGGTCAGGGCACATACAAGAATCAACCAAATGAATGCATATATAAGTGGAATGACAAATCAATGTTTCTCTCTCTCACACACTCAAATTAATAAATAAAAATCTTTAAAAAGTATATATCCATGAGAGGGATTTCTCAGTTTAGAACAGGTCCTGTTCTAAATTCACGCTTTCTGCAAATATGCCAAGTACCTGTTATGTACCAGATTGCATTGTAGGTGCTTTATTAGTTTAATCTGTTTTTTAAAAGGCATTGCACCAGATAAGTCCCTTTAACATTTCATAAAATAAGGGCTTGGTGATGGTGAACTCCTTTAACTTGACCTTATCTAAGAAAAAGAAGATAAAAAACACGTATGGTAAAATGACAGCAAATTCACAATGATTAACAACCACACTTAAAACAAAAACAAAAACTAAGCAAACAACTAGAACAGGAACAGAACCACAGAAATGGATATCACATGGAGGGTTAGCAACAGGGGAGTGGGAGGAGGAGAGAGGGGGAAAGGATACAGAGAATAAGTAGCATAGATGGTAGGTAGAAAACAGACAGGGGGAGGTTAAGAATAGTATGGGAAATGTAGAAGCTAAAGAATTTATAAGTATGACCTATGCACATGAACTAAAGGGGGGGTATGCAGGTGGGAGGGGGTGTGCAGGGTGGAGGGGAATGAAGGGGGGGGAAATGGGACAACTGTAATAGCATAATCAATAAAAAATTTTTTTAAAAAGGCATTGCACCAGTTAATCTAATTTAGGCTTAAAAGGAAGTAGAAGAATAAAGCCAATGCCTCATCTGACGTACATACAAAACAGCCACTCTTGGGTACTGAAACCTATCCCGCCCTTCAAAATTAATCACTGAGGGAAGTTCCGGGTTTGATTTCTGCAATATCTTTTCCTCATGTTCCTTTTTTTTACCCTCAAAGAACATGAAAATAAGCTAGTGCTTTGCAGGTCAATGAGGAAAGCCGAGAATGAAGAGTGAGGAGGTGTGGTGGCGCCTGTTTCCCTCAGGGCACGGAGAGTCTTCTCCCCCTCCCCCGGCATGCCGGTTGGTGACGGTCCCCATTCTGGGGTGAGTGGGGGGCTTGCTTTTTTAAAAAATTTAAATTAATGAATTAATTAATTGTATTCGAGTGGGAGGCTTTCCCAGAGCAGTTGCTAACTGCCTGCTGAGCAGAGCGCCTTCTGGTGGAAGCAATGTCTACACAGAAAGGCAGCAGAAAGCGCCAGAAAATGCAGTCAGTGTCCTGAACAGTGATAGGTCGGGTCGCATGCAGTCGTTAACACCTAAGAAAGAAGCCAAGACTTCTGGGGCACTCGCTGTGTGTATCGCTTGGCTCCAGACACTGGAATGTTCAGGCTTCCCGAAGACTGGTGGGGCAAGTGGTATTATTTCCATCACTTCCATGCAACCAGGGCTGAAGGGGAGCAGGGACACTGAGTCACTCGTGGAAGGGCCCAGAGGTGGTGGGTGGCAACCCCAGCATTCCACTCAGGCCTGGCGGCATCAGAGCCCAGTGACTCCCTGCCACCCACACCTGCTGGCTCTGAGAACCGACAGCTGGGGCGCTCCCGCTTCCTGTGCGGTCATGGGCAGGTCGATCTTGGCTTTCACGGGCCTCGGTTTTTTCTTTTCTTTTTTTTTTTTTAAGTGACATATCAGTCCAGCTCCAAGTAGCTCCCTTGTTTTAAGAGCTTTATTTTTTTAAAAGATTTTATTTATTTACTTTTAGAGAGGGGAAGGGAAGGAAAAAGAGAGAGAATCAATGTGTGGTTGCCTCTCACATGGCCCCCACTGGGGACCTGGCCTGCAACCCAGGCATGTGCCCTGACTGGGAATCGAACCTGCGATACTTTGGTTTGCAGCCCGCACTCAATCCACTGAGCTATGCCAGCCAGGGTCGGTTTTTTCTTTGTAAAATTAAGGGGCTGTGGGATCGGACGAGAGAGCCATTCTTGTAGCCTGCAATCAACAGACAGGAAAACGGCAGGTAACAGCCTCTAGGATGTGTGGCCCGAAGGACTTAGAACTCAGTAAGGGTGAGCTCCCCCTGCCCCCCACCATCCCCTGTCCCCTCACGTCAGAAGGCACAGGTAAACAGAGCAGGGCCTTCGTCAGGAAGCTTTGCTCAGGCCCAGTCTGGTTGGTTTTGCTTCCTCCCTCCCAGTGCAGAGGCCTGAGTGCTCGTCTCTGGAGGCAGAGGGAAGAGCAAAGGCAGGCGGGAAGGTTTTGCTCAGTCCGTGGAGGGCTGGGGAACAGGCAGCTCTGGAGAAAGAAGAGGGTAGGCCCTGGAGCAGGCTGCGTTTTGGCCTTGAGGGGGGGCCCTTGGAATGACTTACTGCTCTTTGAGGGCAGGCGGTCAGGGCAGAGGGCACCTGAGTTTACGGAGAGGGGCCTATCTGTGAATTCAAAATGGGGCCTAAACTGAGGATGGTAGGTGTATTGACGGAGGAGAAACTGTATCTATTCTTTTTTGAGGATTTCCAGACTTTTCTCAGCTGGACATGGTGACATGGTGAGTCTCATATTACACATATTAGACATTCCATCTGATCTCATACTGGTGACAGTCAATTTCTGGGGGCGGGGGGTGGGGCGGAAATCAAACCAAACAAACTTTGAAGAGGAGAGACTGAAGCTGGGAGGGAAAGTTCTAACCCAAGCAAGGCCAGTGCTGTACGATGAAACGTCATTGGCCTGTATCATTGTCCCTTTTTCAGTGCTTTTAGCTTTGTGGGGCACTGTGAGCATGCGTTAGCTCTCTCCAGAGGCCAAATGTAAAAATGTTTTGTGAACATCAGAAAAATCATCCCCCCCAAAGAATTTCTCTTTGGTTTTTGCAATTCACGTAAGAATTCTCTTTCCTTTCCACCTCCCTTCTCTCCAGCCTCCTCGTGGCCAATGAAGTAATCAATTGTCCTCCATTGGAGAAGACAAAGAGTGCAGCGAGCTTTATGGAGAGGGCTTCCAAACCGTCCCTGGAGGGAGGAGAGGGGACGTGAAGGAGACAGCAACAATGAGGGCGTTTCCAAGCATCTGGGGTGTGTAAATAAATAGAAGATAAGCTCCCAGTTTCAAGAGCCAAGCGTGTGTATCTGAAGTCATCGCTGCAAATATTTTTGAGGCTCTCAGGCCTGAGACGCCTCTGTGTCATCCACGTCTGTGTCCGTCTTCAACCGCGGCCACGCGGTTCTGGCGCCCCCCCATGGTACACAGGGAGTAACAGCAGGTGGGAATTCAAAGGCCTGGGTTTGCCGGGTGTCGGGACTACGGTGCTTCCCTCTGTGTGAAACTGGTTCATCTACTTAATGCTGCCTGGCACACAATAGGTGCTTAGTGAGTATGGACCAAATGGATAAATGCACAAGCAAACCACCTGTCTGAGCCTCGGTTTCCTCACCTGGGGGACGTGGGGGCATAATACTTCCCCAACAGGCTGTGATCATGTGGATAAGCTTGTTTCCTGGAAGAGCTTCTCGAACTTGCTTTTATTTCCCAGGAGTCACCCCGGGGAGCTGCTCAAATGCACATTCTAACGCCAGAGGCCTGGAGTGGGTGGGCCTGAGTTCTGGGTTTCCAACTAACCCACGGGGATGGCTAGATGGACCACACTTTGAATAGGTAGGTCCAAGAGTCTAACGTGGCGGGAATTATCAACGTTATCTCTTCGGCCAATGGGGTCACGGTAAACTGCGAGGACTAACTGTCCCGGTGTCCTACAACCGAGGGCTTCAGTGCGAGAACTAGGGGAGTCCTGGGCAAACTTGAACAAGTTGGTCACCCCACGAGAATGGTGGCAGAGAAAGGGATGCTTTGCTTTGGTCTGAGCTGCTGTGTGAACCCAAAACAAAACAAAACAAAACAAATGGGTGAGGCTATTTGCTAAGGAGAGGAGTACATTCCCACCTGAGATCAATGTGTTCTCTCACCCCTTTTTCGCAGAGGCCCAGAGATGTTGGGTGACTTGGCTGACACCACACAGCGCCTCAGGGACAGGGCTGGGGCTAGGGATCCTGCCTCCAACTCCCTGCGTAGCTGCGCGCTTTCTCCGCCGGTCCAGGTCCCAGTCGCCTTCTCCGACACATTCCTCTCTATCCAGCAACAGAGTCTGCTTATTTAGAAATTGGCTTGTTCGGAGACTGAAATTTGACATAGATGATTTTGGTTGTGAGAGATCACATTTTCCCTCTGTTTTGGTTTGCTTAACCGTGTTGGGGTGGGGGTGGGGGAACCGCCGCAAAGTAATAAAAACACAATGAGGCTGCTAAAGTGGTTCAAGTGCAAAGCGTCCAGAAATGCGGCAACGACAGCTTATATAGATTTATTTTGTAACTCAAGATAGTAGATTAGAAACCCATGAGGTTTACTTCCAGGGATTTACAAACCCCAAATAAATAAACAGCTGGGGTCTGTCTCTTTCCAGGCTGCGTCTCCCGGAGGTGGGGCCAAGGGGCTGGGAGAAGCACCCTGCTGGGCGGATTGGTGGAGGCCATTCCTGTGCTCCTGCCTGAAGGTCATCAGAGAAGCTGTCTATTGTCAGGACTGCGGGGGGTGTGTGTGTGTGTGTGTGTGTGTGTGTGTGTGTGTGGCAACTGCACAACGCCACTCAAAAACCTTTGTAGTTTATCTTGCACAAAACAGGTCTTAAAAGAATGTTGCCATTTATTATTAACAGTTGAGAATCCATGCCGAGAGTTCACACTAAGCACGTGAGCACATGGCATGTAGGAGGGCTAGGGGGCTCTCGATCTCCAGATCCTTCTGATTGTGCTGTAGATTCAGGCAGGTTTTGGTTGGGGGGAGGGTGGTGGAGAAGGGGGGATGGACAGAGAGAAAGCGAGAGAGAGATTGACTGTGCGCAGCCCCAGTCAGTGCTCTGTGCATATCTGTTACCTGGTCCAGGACCCGGAGAAGACGCCCTGCTCACAACCAGGTGAGTGGTCAGCTCGAGCAGTGGATGCTTTGCTTTCCAACGAGTGTGGCTGGCTGGCAGCTTCTGCCTCTACCTTAATTTAACTAACCAAGCTACAGGCTGAGCACACCACAGGTTCATCCAATGCTTTTAGCCACAAAGTGCACGTGTGTGTATACATATATATGCCTGAAAACATCTACACACTGGGACACCTTATACAGAGGAGCTATGGTAAAACACAAACATTTAGAAAGAAAGTCGTTACCCTGGGTCCATCAACCACCTCTAAGAGTGACGAAAGGACATTTCAACGTCAGGCTTCAGGTTGAGACCCGGAGAAGTGGCTTCCAGAGCCAGGGGTCTGCTGGGCTGACTGGGTGATACCTGATCATGGCAGGAGGGAGGCGGGCAGCCAGTCGAACTGCTCGCTGGGGCATTCCTGGGTGCTGAGGCTGATGGCTGAGCTCGTGCGCCCTCTCCTTCTAGAAGCAGAAACCCCTGGGACCTTGCTGGACAGCCCCACAAACCTAAGAGCACTGACTGAAGAACAACGAGGTCGTGGCCACAGCCCGATCCAGGGGCCCATCTCACACTCAGCCTCTCCGTTCCTCTTCCTGTCCCCACGTTCCCGTTGGCTCTCCTAAGAGTCGTGTGGAACAGAGGCTCCCTGAGTCCTTCCCATTTCTGGGCACCACACAGACAGCTCCTCAGAGCCCTACATCACAGGTGACATTCCTGTCACGGTGATGAAGTCTCACGGACCCTACCCTCCCACCTCCCGGGGGGTCACCGCGAGGGCGCCCAGAGACACCACCACGGTGTGGAGCAGGTGCCTGCCAGCCGCCTGTTCTCCTTGCGGACTGTGCACGCCTGTGGGGAGGAGGGGCCTGGAAATCCGCAAGCTCCGGGGTCGCGCATGCGCACTACGTGAAGCGTTACTCTGCCTTCCGGGACGGTCAGCCCAACTTCCGGGACCACGAGATCCCGAAGTCCCTTTCCGGTCACTGTCCACAGCCACTCAGCTAACCTGCTCTAAGCCATGGAGTAAAAACTCCTGGGTCTAAGAAACATTTATCTCCTGAGAAAGGTCCCAAGGCTGGCTGGGACCCAGCCGCAACTCAGTGAGTGCCGAGCTCTGTTTCTAGACGACACTGGGCTACCCATTCTGGCTCCAGACATCCAGAGACTCTTCATGTCCCGAGCCTCTCTTAAATGACACATCTGTAGTTCTTTTTGCTGTAAACAAACCAGGCTACCTGCTGCCAGACAGCTCCACTGCCCTGCCCCCCGCCATCCCAGGGGTGAGCCAGGCTCCTCCGACCCAGCCACCAAGGCACCTGGGGCACTTTTTCGCCACCTGCGGGCCTCTGCGCAGTACCGCCCCTTTCTTCCATCTCCCTGCTCTTTCCGTTGGGGAATCCAGAACGGCTGGCGGAGCTCCCACCGGGGCGAGGCGTTCTGGGTTTGGGCGAGGGGCAAATGGTGCTGTGCGCTGCGTTTGGCCACAACAGAAACCGTCTCCCTGGCCAGTTAGACACATAAAGCTCACAGACGCTTTGCTGATCAGGCAAGAGCAAAAGGCCCCCTCCTGCCTGCTGGCTAGGGGTGTGGGGCGGGGTGGCGGCGGGGGAGGGGGGGTGTCTTTTCAGTGCCTGGCTGCGTTCTGCTCAGGAAGACGGCTCTATCATAGACCTTTCTGTCCCTCAGAAGTTCAAAAACAACCCTGTTCTCTCTGGGGCACTCTCCGTTTTCTTTCCCAAATTCTGACCCTCCCCGTAGCTCCCCGGTGTATGAGGTCCAGCATGTTTCCAATCTGATTGTCGTCAGTGTCCTCACCACGGATAAAGCACGGAGCGTGGAGAAGACCGCCATCAAGTGTCTGGCTGTGCCCGGTTACTTGTGCATTCCCGAACCCTGCACCCCTCGGATGGCCAGGCACTTTAACTTCTTCCTTTGCGGCGTCTCCAATGACAGGCAGAAAAGGGGGTGACTGAGTGGAGACTGTGATTTACCATTTATTTTATTGCTGATATTTTTACTCTGGATGAGGGCAAGCTGTTGATTTTCATTTGAACTGCTCTGCAGAAGCAGCCCTGACTCATCTCTGGGACAGAATTCCAGCTTCAGTGTGGGAGCCTAGCAGCTCTGCCCCCAAAACGTCCAGCACAGCTGGGGAGACGGAAGCCATTTTCCAGGTCAAGATTTTACGTAGAAAGTCCCTCCTTCCCGTGTAAGCGTCCTCTGTCCCGGCCGCTCCAGTGGCTTTGCTTCTCAACACACTCCCACTGAAGTTCTCCACTGGACATGTCCCCACAAACCACCCTGTTTCTAACGGCGATGGAAATCCAACTTGGAGGAGGCAAAACAGTAATTAGGAAAGTTCTGCCTTGGGTGGTCCTTACTGGCACTGACAGCGGGACAGGCCAGCGACGATAATGGACACCAAATGTGCCCCTGGAACACAGGGCCCCTGGTGGCTTGTCCGGCCAAGGCTGGGCCACAGCTGGGGTAAACGGGCTGCACCCACGTCCGGTGCAGAAGTACTGGTTCTCAGCAGAAAGGGCAAGTTGAGAGAGCAAAGCCTAAAGATGCGATTTCCCCCACAAGTTCTTTCCTCTCCTTTAGTTTGCCTCCATGTGGTTGCTCCACGAAGGGCATGGAGCAGCCACGCCTGTGTCTAACAGACGGCCTGAACTCCTTCTCCAGACTTCCAGAGTCACAGAAGCGGGGGCCGAGTGCGCCAAATCCATAGCCATGAGGACCAGCTCTTGAGTCTATGGATCCTGGAATGCGGCGGCCCCAACCGAGAGCTCAGTTCTCTTGTCGTGTGCAGGGGCGTTGGGTGACCAGGGGGGAGGGGGCCTCTGGGGCAGCTACTGAGTAGACCACTGAGAGCCCCAGAAGGGGAGACCCTTTGCATCAAAAGAAGATGAATTTAGGTGATCGGTCCTTAAAAAACTCAATTTGGTTGCTTTTCTGCCCTTGCTTCAATATAGGAGTGTGACGGCCAAACCGTAGCTCTGGCTCCCCATGCTGCTGCCCCATCTTCTCCGCCAGGGTGTGTTCAGAGGAGGCCAAGAAAAATCACTTCTCCACCTTGTTTTGATTTGTCTCTTCTGGGGTCCCCGGGTCTTCTGTCCTACTCTTCCAAGGGGCGACCTGGCGCTCTCAGAACTGCTCCGCCTCCACAAAGCCCTCCTTCTCGTGGCCCGAGGGTTCGACCTCCGTGTAGGTGGAGTGGTTGGGGTGGTTGCGGAACCTCATGGCCGGCCAGTGGTGAGATCTCCGCTGCAGGGGCACAGACCAGAGTCAACAGGCATGGCCTCACCCACTGGGGACCTTCCCCCAGGGACAGCACCGAGACTCTCTTGACAAGGGCACTGGGGGCCTACAGAGGGCTGGGTGACGTTCAGGGCCCCCTCCCTTGGAGGACTCCCTGCTCTGACCCCTCCGCTGCTGGGGAGCCTGCTGGGATAGGAGGGCTGCAGGACCTGAGGTGGAAGCTTTAACAACATATGGAACGGAGCCCTGAGGCGGTGGGAAGTGAGGACATAGGTGAGAGAAGGAACGGCCTGGGAGGCTCTGGGAATGCCAAAATAACAGGTCCTATATCGGGTCAGCAGGGGAGCTTATGAAAATGCAGATTCTCGGGCCTGTCTCAGAACCCCCATCAGCGTCCCCATCAGCATACCAGACAGGCCAGGGTTTAACACTGACCAGTGAAGATGCACAAGCAACAGGGGGGGTCTAGACAAAACGGAGGAACCACCTGGCCTCTAGGTAATGAGGTCACCGGGCCCCTGCGCCCTGTAAAGGAGACTGTGGTCACAGAGTGCCAGCACTGTGCCCCGAGGAAAGCCAGTGAGAAGCCGAGAGCGGGGCTGGGACAGGGGCTGCTGAGCTCGGTGGCTCACAGCGGAGGGGGCTGGGCCTTACTGTCGTGCGGGCTCTTCCCAGTTCTGAGATGTGCGAAACCAGGGCATCCTCAGTGAAAGCTCCCCGGGAAAGCAACTCGTTCCTATTATGGTTTGTTGATTCTACTCTAAAATCCCCCCACAGCAAAGAGGCAGAGAGGCCTCTCAGTTCTATGATGGCTTTGAATAAATGCCGGGGCTGGAGTTTGGCCACGAGAGACCATACCTCCTTAGAGATCGGCTGCACAGCCACTGAACAGGCATGCGTGGCGCTCTTCCCTTCTTCCTGTGCCCTGGGGCCTCGTTTCACAAGTGGGGGTGCAAAATCAGGTAAGGACAGGAGGGCTGGAATAGGTCTGAGGTGCAACCCCCTGGGGGTTGGGGACTACGAGGACACTAGCCAGCATGAGGTCGCCCAGGGGGAGTCAATGACAGTTCCTCAGGTGGGAGCAGGAGCCGGGCATGTGGCTGGGGAGGGATGAGATGGGGAGGAGCAGGTCCTGAAGGCCAGGGGAACGGTCATGCAGAAGCAGAGGGGGAGCTGACCTCGATGAAGAAGAGCGCGGCATTGGAAGTGGGGTGGCCGCTGATGTAGATCCCCACCAGGATGATGGCTGCTACGAGGAGGACCGCCAGCACGATGCCCACAATGGTGCCCAGGTGTACCGGGGGGCCCTTTGTCTTGGGGGACAGGTTGTTCTGAAGGCCTGTGGAGAGAGCGAGAGGGCAGGGCAGCTGCAGGGGAGCAGGGAAGGTGGGGCCATGGAGTCCTGGGCTCTGGCAAAGTCCCAGAGATGAAAGGTGACAGAACCTTGGGTCTACCTATCAAATACGCGACCAGGGGTGGCGGGGCTGGAATGGGGGTTGTGGATCATGAGCACGGCGTTAAAATTCTCTGCGTGGTTCAGGCGGCTTTTCAAAATCACTTCCAGTTGCCCTGGAGGGTGCCTTGGTTGATCGGAGCATCAGCCCCCACGCCAGGGTAGCGGGCTCATTCCTGGCTGGAGGTGCGCATGCGCCAGCGAATGCGTAGGGGGGCGGAATAGCAAATCGGCGTCTCTCTCTCTCTCTCTCTCGCTCTCACTCTCGCTCTCGCTCAAATCAGTTTTTTAAAAATCACTTGCAGTTGCCCAAATGTCGACTGAATAAGGATTATAAAAGTTCTCTCTGACACCTGTGCCACATACGTACTTTTAAGGAATTCACCAAGGCTGTGTTATGGTGAAGAGCTTGGGAGCTGGAATCTGGCTGCCCGGGTTCAAATCCAGACTCTGCCACTTACGAGTGTGTGACCTTGGGCAAATTATTTAACCTCTCTGCGTCTCAGTTATTACTTACGTAGAACATGGATCATAGTAACTGCTTGCTGGGGTTATTGTGAAGGTCAAAACGAGATAATTCTCGTCAAGTACTGAGGACCACGGCGGGTATCTTGGACGACCTCAGGAAGTGTCAGGTATGATGACGTCAAAGTGACTGCACTTTTACCTGTCACCGCCCATAACACCAGACTGTGACCTCCTGAAGGCAGTGTCTAATTCATCTCTACGTCCTCAGTGCTTAGAACACAAAAGGGCCAGCCCATCGGAGGAGCTCAGTAAAAGAAAGGAGCTCAGCCCTCTGCAGGCTAATGAGCCAGCAGGCACTCTCTGAGCACACCCCGAGCACTTGAAATGTATCCCAAGGAGAAAACTGAGTATTTCCATAGACTGCTAAGCTGGAAGCTCATGCAGTCCCACCCTTCCTGTGTGGCTGAGGTAATGGAAACCCAGAGGTGAAATGATTTGCCCAAGGACACGGTCAATGCCAGCCACTTAGAAGCCTAGCTTCCCGCTGCCACCTGGGCTGGCCATGTGCCTCCTCTCCCTACCCTAACGGGGTGTGGAGATAATCAAATAGAGACAGAGGAGCATGTAAACAACAGGAATGTCTAATCTCATTTACACGGCTAGTGGGTGGGATGGGAGTCAACAAGGGGTGGGGATTTTTTAAAGGGTGTTTGTTGCACGTGCATCCAAAACCATTGCCCTCTCCAGCCCCTCTTCTCTGCGAGCAGAGGAAACCCAGGAGAGACATGACACTCGGGCGCCGCTGCAGCATGCGGGGTCTGTGCCTCTATCTGCCAGCAGATGGGAGAATTGAGGTGACACGCCTCCAAGCTGGCCTCCCCTGACCTGGCACTCAGCCAGCCAGCAGCGGGCAGTGACCCTGCGGATCTGACGGTCAGGGCTTGGGCTAATGAATGCATGGTACAGAGAGGGGACCATGGCCCAGCTGCACCCTCCCACCTTGCACCCACACTTCCCCACACACACATGCACCATCACACCTGCCACCCGTAGAAGAGTATTAGCTCCATCTCTGTGCTGCATTCACAGCCTCTTCTCTTCTGCTGGAAGCCCGGACCTCCCAGGCCCTGGGGCAGGAAGCACCTCCACCTCCCCTTTGCAGTGTTTGCAGCGAGCACCTGAGCTAGCTCTGGGCAAAAGGCAGGAGAGGTAGGGCCCCCTCACCTCATCAGAGAGATTGGCCTCCCAGGTAACCCTGGGACAGGGGATCCCACTTTCTGGCACCCAATAAAAACTGGGACAGACAACTTTTGTGCACTCTTTGCCAACCCAGGCAGGGACTCAAAGGAAAGGTGACATGAGAGAAGCTTCCTGCACCCCTCATTGTGAGGCTCGTGGGGGCAAGAGGCTGAGGGCCACAGGCCTGGCCCCAGCAGGCCTGCCCTCGTGCAGCCCTGTCTCCTCCTCTCTCTCCTGGTTTAGGGTGGTGGATATGCAGGAGCAGAGAGGTCGGGAGAAGAACCACAGGAGGTTCCTGACTGAGATGGGAATGTCTAAATATAGACACAAGTTCTGTCAATCTAGGGGGCCTGTGCCCGGAAGCCCCTGCCTTCCCACCCAGCAGGAGGTCTAGGAAGCTGGGGCTGCAGTTGCTTCCCCCCTCCCCCACTCAGAATGAACTCAGAGGCCAAGTGGCTGCTGCACCCTGTTCTGGGACAGGCAGCTCTGTACTCACCGTCTCCCCCCGCATAGGGATTCAACTTGGTGTCATCTTGGAAAAGAAAGGAAAGAAGGAGGGAAATTAGTGGAATCCTATGGCCTTTGTCACTTCAGGTCTGGATGAGACCATAGAGAGGTTCGGTCCACACCTTCATGTCAGAGGCCAGGAAACTGAAGCACAGAGAGGGGAGGGGACTTGCCCACAGGTCACACAGCAGTGTAATGGTCGAAGGCCACGAACAAGCCAACTTTTCCTAGTCTCACGTTCACTCATTCAACAAACACTTACTGAGTGTCAACCATGAACTGCGCACCGGGAGGGGGCACTGAGGGCAGACGTGGTCTTTGCCATCGGGGAGTTAACAGGTGGCCTGGATGGAGAGATGATTAAAATCCAAACTAATGAAGCTCTGACTGGAGCCTCACCAGACAAAGGGAGACAAGAAGGAGGGCCTGGGCAAAGGGGTCTAGGCCGTGGAAAGAGCATGGGCAAGGTCCAGAGCCAGCAAGCACTTGGCCAATTGAGAAAAAGCAGTTCAGTGGAGCTGGAGGTGGAGAGGGTGGGAGCAGGGGGTGTTGAGCGTGAGGCCGGGGGTGGGGGCCCGGCTGTCAGGAAACCAAGTTGAGGACCATTCACGTTCTCCTGAGGGGCGATGAGAAGCTGAGGAAGGATATGAGGGGGGTGAGCAGGTCACAAGGTCAAGTCTGCCTGGAAACCTCCCCTAGGGTACAATGCAGAGGACAGATTTCCACCTCCAGGTGTGTGTCCTGTGGCTTCCTAAGAAAGTTCCAGTGGTTGGCCCTTCCTGTGGCTCCTCCCCACTGTCACACGGGGAGAGGAAGGCCAGAAAGAGTCCCACGTGGCCAGAATGCTCTGAGGACTGCGGGTGACTGCTTTAAACCTCGGAACCCTGAACAAATGGAACGAGTCACAGTGCAAGGCTGCCAACATGCATCCTGTCCCCTTTCCCCTCGAGCACCTCCACCATCCATGTCATTTCAAAGGCTTTGCTGGCTCCCCTCTGTTCACAGGTGTTCAAGGCCCTTGCAATCTGGCCCCAATCTTCTTTCCTTATGTCACTCGCCACAACTCAAGCCTGCTGCGGGGGCTGTAACCGGCCGCCCAAGGCCCTCCGACACCCTCGGCTTGCATGTCTCTGAGCTGCTGCACGTTCCGCTACTCCCGCAGGGCATGCCCTTCCTCCCCTTCACTCTCCCTCTCTCTCAAGTCCCAGCCCTGAACTGCCCCGTGCACGAGGGGTGAGCGCTGGAATTAGGGTGCGGCAAGTGAAACAGGGTCAGTCCTGTCTTTACTTACCTACCATTTTGATATTTGGGAATTTTTAGCATCAATTTTGGTTTTTACCAATATTGCATGAAAGTATTATCTGGACTACTGCTTTTTTAGTGTGTGTGTGTGGGGGGGTTCCTCCTAACTTTTCAAAATAGATTTTATTGATTTACTTTTAGAAAGAGGGGAAGGGAGGGAGAAAGAAGGAGAGAAACATCAATGTGTGAGAGACACATAGATTGGTTGCCTCTCCCACAGCCCCAACCAGGGACTCCACTCCACCCACCACAAAGGCATGTGCCCTGACTGGGAATCGAACCAGCGACCTTTCAGTTCGCAGACCGGTGCTCAGTCCACTGAGCCACACCAGCCAGGGCTCCTGAAGTTTTCTACCTGCGTTGAGTGCCTCACTTGCTTCACCCTGGTCCTGGCCCTGTCGCTTCCCAGAAGGCACATGGGTGTGTCCTCCTCGGTGTCCCATCGCATCTGGTACCTATTTCTGCCACATCTCAGGTCCCATAGTTCCCCAGCCCGGTCACATCCCAGCCCCAGACACGGCATCCTGCTCTGCTGTGCACATCCAGTCTGGAAATACCAAAACCTCACATCAGATAGTGGAAGGATAAACCATGAGAATATTTTTAAATGGTTTTACTATGGGGAATGAGGAGGCAAAACTAAAAACTGAACTTTTTTGAATATACCTGCCTTTGTAGATTTGACTTTGGATCTATGTAAATCATCATTTAACTATTACATAATTATAAAGAAATCAACATTTAACAGCAGTCTTAAAAATTGAAAGTAAAACAAAACAGCAAGTTATAGACATAATAGAAAGCTATGCTTTCTTCAGGAATTTCAATAAACAAGGTATTTAAACACACCTCTGAGTCTATTTTGTTACTGCAAGTTGAAAGTAACTAATTGGTTAGTCAGAACTGACCAGAGTAACCCTAAACATCACTGGGAAAATTAACTCAATTTGAATCAACTTGTTTCAGATCTAGAGCATTGAAAATCCACCACAGCCCAGCACACGTCTGCCCCTGGCAGACGGAAGGACGCGGCGCCACCTGCAGCCAGTCCCTCTCACGAGGTGACTAAAGGGGACCACGCCGAGCCCACGGCAGCTTTTCTCCCACCCACCCAGGGCTGGTTCCCAGCCCCCATCTCGTCGGGGTCCGTGGAGTACAAGCTGGTTCCCCAATTAATGGGTAGAGTCCCACAGAAACTCCTATAGTGAAGACATGCGTGCCATGTTTATCAGACAGGTGATCGTTTTTCTGTAGTTAGTTCTCACCTGTTGCTATCAGCCTGTCTGCTCACCAGGTGAGCCCTTCCACTGCAGCTCTTCCAGGTGAGGGCCTGTCTCTCCTTGCAGTAAAACGCACGGGCTTTGTGGCAGCTGGTTGCCACTCAGAGGTCGTGCTGGTTCACTTGAGTGGGTGGCCTTTGCTTGCCAGTGAACAACTCTTAAATCCCAGCCCCACACCCGCCAGCAGCCTGAGCCCGCTCACTTCCGTGCTGCCTGACTCAGGCCCGCACAGGCGGTCCCTCCGGCTGGAGAGCCGTGTCCCCTTCCTTCACAGCACCCTCCTGTCCCCCCAGAGAGGCGGTCCCTCACCCGCCCCCACAAGCCTCCACGTGCGGTTGTAGTCACACAGGCCGGAGGGCGACTGAAGCCTGTCCTGCCCGGACGTCCTGAGAACGGGGTGTGCAAAGTCATCCTCGACATATTTCCTCCTGTAGACGCAACTTGGTCACCTGTGCCGCCTCGTCCGGGACTGGGATGACAGAGAGCCACAGCTGCCCTCACTCTCCCGCCTTCCTCTGGGGACAGTTACACAGCACCCAGAAGCGAGACGCACTCCTGGCCCGCGGGAGACACACACGCCATCACACCGGCCGACAGAAGGCAGTGCCTCTGTGCGGGGACAGCCCACCCCGGCAGGAGCCGGTCCCCAGTCCCCAGACGTCCTGTGCTGGGCTCCCTGAACCCACTGCAGCCGGCTTCTGGCCGCTGGCGCTCTGCAGCTCACCCGGAGGTCTGGTCAACCCCTAGGCAACGAGCTCTGAGGGCAAGGGCATTCTCAACGAACACGCAGGGTTAACTCTGGGGTGACTGGCCCGGGGGCTCTTCCTTTTAACTGGAATCTCCTCTCATTGGAAGGTCACCTGGACTTGATTCACCTGGACTTAACTCCCTGAGGGCGAGGTCTCCTCCTGCTCCTTCTCCATGTAATTTATTTAGTGCCCCACCGCACCAGCGGGAGCTCTGCTCTCGCTCCCCGCTCCCCGGGGCCTTAGCCCCCTCCTCCAGGAGCTTTGGACCAATGAGAACCACCTGACTCTGCCTTGCTTGTTCCACCTTCACAAAGCGCCCCGAGTTCACGAAGACCTTCTCCTGTTTCTTTCAGCACTGAGAAGAGCGGCAGGACTGAGGGGCAGAATGGCTGCGTTTGGAGCCACAAGAGACCTGACTCCACCTCTTCCGGGCTGTGTGACCTTGGGCAAGCCATCAACCTCTCTGAACCTTAGCGGCCCCTCTACAGAATGGGGATGAAAGAGTATCACTATACAGGACCGTCAGGAAGACGAAGTGAGCGTTAAGGCGTGCACGACATTAGCACCCTACCCGGCACGTGGTCAGGCCCCCCAGGTGTTAGCTCTTCCACTGGTTCGCCTTCCTCTGACGACCCTCTGGGCTGCTGCTGCCCCAGTTCTCCCGGCTCCACCCCTTACCTCCCTCACGTGACCCTGAGTAACCTTGGTTGCCCTCTGAGCCCGTTTTTGTATATACAAAATGGGGCTGTGGCTGAATAGTCTTAAGATAGTGACTTCTTTCTCGGCTCCTCTCCTCCTTTCCATTTGCCCCTTTGAAGCACGTGTCTAGCTCAGGGGAGGTGGTAAGAATCCACAGGTCTCTCCGTCTTAGCCTAAAAGCAAGGCGCTGAAACCTAGATTGGGACGCACTGAACGTGGGTACAAGAGGAATTTCTTACACGCAGCCAGAGTCCCAGAGGGGCCCACACAGCCTTCTGGAGACAGTGTGTGGTGCCTTCAGCTGGAGAGACCTCTGGCCAGACCCACCCCAGCGCCCGCCCCAGCCTCAGGCTGGCAGAGAAGCCTCTGGGGACAGCCAGGCCTGGAGCGGCAGGGACAGGGCAGCGGCAACCCAGGTGCACACAGCTGCCCTACTCTGACCCCTGCGCACGAGGTCGCAGGGGCAGGGAGCCCTGCCCCAGAAGTTCTGAGGGGGGGCTCTCTGCCTTCCAGCTGGATGAAGATGGAGAGAAGTTATAGAAAAACGAGGCAATCTTTCTGCCACATCTGAGTGTTGAGACTGAGTCTATTCCTTCTGCAGGGATGATAAGACCTCACCGGTTCTGTGAGGATTGCTGGCAAGATTCACTGAAATGTTATATGAACTACCTGGCCCTGGACTGGACATTCATTCCCCCCTCACCACAGTGAACTTGACCCCACAGCCCCAAGGTGGGCTGGCGGGGCGGTTAGAGCCTGGGCGAGGAGTCCACTCACTCCAAACCCTGTTCTGATTCTCACCGGCAGGTGAGCTCTGCTCTCTGAGTCTCCGGTCCCTCCTCCAGGGCAGGACAGGGCAATTCTTATTCCCCAAGGTGACCCCTGTCAGAGGTGGTGACGCTCGAGGGCCACGGCCCTTCCCCATGGCTTCTCTCCCGTCCACCCCGACGGCTACCTTCCGTGGTGAGGCTGTCCAGGAAGAGGGGGGAGGAGGTGGTGCTGAGGTCTCCGCCAGAGGGGCTGAAGGAGCTGTCGGGGGAGGATGCGTAGTGGTCCTCGTCCTGGAAGTCCTCACATGTCCTGTCCTCTGCCTGTAAGAGAGACCCAGGCTGCGCTGGACGGAGGCCCCACCGCTGGGCACGCCGCACAGAGGAGGACGGCGGGGGCACGTCCATCCCTGTGCGGCCAGAAAATTTAAGATTCTGGTGCATGGTCCAGGCAGGGCAATCTAACCAAAGCTGTGCCTTAAACACCTTTCGGCCTCGCACTTTATCCTGGAAGCACCTTACCTTGCAGGGCAATTTATCTGTTTGCTGCTTCACACCCTTCCCGAGGGAGGAGCAGAGATGCCAATTTTAAATAGACAGGGCAAATCTGCACACTCACCAGAGGCCAATGTCAGAAGTGGGTTGCTGGGCAAGATTCTTTTAAGGCCAGAAAAAGACAGCCCACCCAGCCTTACTAATAAAACAGACAGGGAGGGGTGCCTGGGAGTGGGGTCTGGGGGTTTACGTTTAAGTGCTGGCACCCGGCACCTTTGCCTTCTCACCAGCTGTGAGATGCAGGCCTAGTCCCTAACCCTCTCTGATGGGGCGGGGCACCGGCCCCCAGCTTCTGGGGCCACGTGAGGGTTAAAGCAGAGCAGGTGCAGGGCAGCATGCCCTTAAGTAGCTAGAGCTGCAGGAAGAGATGGAGAGAGGAAGGGAGGGGAAAAGGACACGGCACTTGGGTGACACGTGTGTTAATATGAGGTGTGACAGTAGGACGCTTCTGCTCAGGATCCAAGTGCGGGACATTCTGGAACCTGTCAGCAGTGAGAAGGAACCTGCGTGGGATTCTAAGTGGGCGGAGCCTGGAGCAGCCCTCTTTACTTCCAGAAGGACTGCCATCTGCAGAAGCCTGAGGGCTGGAGTCGCAACCGCTTCACAAACTTCACCAGGGACACAGTCCCCCAGAGGACCCCAGCCCCAGGTGGAGGGGACGATTTCACCAAGAGCCGAAGACACCTTGAGGAGAGCTGCCAGCGAAGGGCCTTGCTGCTCCTTCCCCACGAGCTGGCTCACGAGCCTCTCACCTCCTGGGCGCAGCCGTAGAACAGCCACTCCTGGCGGTGTCGGTCAAAGCCACTGGAGCATCTGTGGGGGGAACCAAGGTCGGAGGTGTTGCGGGAGGGGGGAGTGATGGAGAGGCCCTCCCCTTCATTTCCCCTGTGCAGCAACGGCTCTCCCATGATGGTGAGGAGGGGGCTAGCCTCCCAGGGCTCAGGCAGCCAAGCCCCGCAAGACCACCCACGGGCAGGTGCCCTCAGCACCAGGAAGCTGTGGAATCGGAGTCATAACCTCCTGCCCCATCTAGTCCTTTTCCGGAAGGAGGGGAAGGTGTCCGTGAAATCCCTACTTCCTTCCGGCCCAGTTCCCAAGGACCAAGGCCTCGGCTGCCCAGATGGTTTGTGTAGGGGGCTAGACAGACTGCGTGACGTCTAACGACCTTTCAGGCCCCCTGGACTTGGGGCTGCTCTGAAATCGCTAAAAATCCAGGGAATTCACACACATGGTCTCATCTGGGGAAGACTTGTTCACTCACTGATACCCCTTTTTTGGGTGGAGAGCTCAGGCCCTTGGAGAGGACAGGCTGGGGGAAGGCGGCCGTCAGCAGGTTTGGCCAGCACCGCTGCACGATCAGCGGAGGGCAGAAGTGAGGGCCCTGCCACAGGCTGGGAGAAATCAAAAATGGGCTGACCAGGGTTTCCCGGGCCATGGTACAGCTCGGCAGGGCTGGAAGATGCCAAGCCCTTCCCTAGGGAAGGGGTGGGGGCATGAGGAGGGAGCAGAGGAGGTCCTTCCTCCCTGGCATCATGCTCAAATTTCCAGTCTTCACTCTTCGGTGCCCAAGGCATCCATCAAGCCCTACTCCAGTGCAGGGACATCTGCATGGGAAAAACAGCATCACGCGCCACCAGCACTGAGAGAACTCATGGCTAGTTAACTTCAGGTCACTCTCTGCACCAGCAACCTGCCCATCTGCCCGAGGCCAGCCGTTCCCTCCGGAGATGTCTCCGAGCTGCTCCTCCCGCAGCAGAGCGATGTGCACCGCTCTCTCTGAGGTCCTCTGGGCCCCTTACTGTGGGGGGTGGGGGATTAGGGGCCCTATCGGGGGTTGGGAATTAACATTTTTTTTAGACCATAGTGATCCTTGCAAGGACTGACTGAGGTTTCAGTATAGGTCTAGGAGTATCACAGTCCAAGCGCTGAGCCAACAAACCCAGATTCAAAGGAGAAAGGCATGAGAAGTGCCATTTGCTGAGTGACCCTTGGGTCCCAGGTGCTGCCCCAGCCATAGGCCGAGCCTGCACCTTCTCATGGGACCCTTCCAATGGCGCAGCAAGGCAAGGGTTAGGCTCCTTATATCCTGAGCCAAATCCTGGAGTTAAGGTCAAGTCACCCTTAGACTCTGCAGCTGCTGGTGGGTGAGGGCACGGTGGCCACCCCAGTACACCAGCCCTGCCCTCTGACGTTTTAGAGTCCTGGGTCAGCTCTTGGTTGGAGATGAGGCTCCAGAGAGTTGGCGAGGAGGGTCCCACACTGGGGTGAGCCTGGGTCCTCAGGCATCTGAGGACCGGAGGTTTCCAGAACCACGTCAGCCTGGCACACCCTGCTGGAGCCTCTCTGTGCTGTAGCTGACATTGCCACGGCAGAGACAGAGTCCATGCCTGAGGCCCCAGCCCCCCTAGCCTGGCCAGCCTGCAGTGAACAGGCACGGTCTCTGAGGCTGGGGATACCCATTCAATGGGCCGCGTCAGTGCAAGGGTTTGCTTCCATCTGACTCACGGTGCAGGGTGCACGGCTCTGGGTGCTGAGTCCTGCCGTGACTGCCAGCCCCAGGGCCCAAGGGCTCATCGGAGGTCGTCTGGATGATCTCCCCGAGTGCCAGAGATGCTGGCTCTCAAACTTGCAAGTGCACACAAGGGATCACACTGCAGGCCACCACTCCCAAAAAAACCAACCTGGGGGAGGCCCTATGTGTATCCTCTCCGAGGCTCTGTGCCTCTCACGTGAAGGGCTCTGAACCCTTTGCAAAGATGCCATTTGGTATTCGAGGAGTTAAAATAACAGCATGGTCCTCACCACCTTTCTCTGCACCACATAACCCCAGCCCGTTTTACCGGGAAAGCAAACTGAGTGAGTAAGAGCTGTGGGAGGAACAGCTGGGAGGCCCAACGAGGCCCCCCCTCGCCTCCCAGCCTGGAGCTGTGTCCTGTGTGCTAGGCGGGCCGCCTATTAAAGGCGATGGCTTCCCTTTCAACACCAGGATATTGGAAAGGAGCAAAGGAAACACTGACAGATGCATGACAGCTGCAAGGAACTCAGGGACTCCGTAATTTCCATTTTTTTAAGATGTAATGCCTTAAAGGCTCTTGGAGGTCACAGAGCATCCCACTCTCATGAGAGACCTCGTCCCCAAAGAAATCATTATTTTCTTCCTTCTGCCATTTACTTATCTTGAACAGGAGAGCAGGGCTCAACTTCTGAGTCTGATCTGTGAGGACATGATTTCAGAACAAGGAGGGGAAGACAAGCTGGACTTAAGAACTTTATCCCTGAGCCTGCGTCTCGTCCAGAATTTTCTCTGCTTCTAAAACCAAGTAAACATGAGCTCTGTTTGCCCCAACTTTCCACAGATGCCTGACATTTCCACGCCCCCGGGTTTCAGGAAACCCTGTTGCAGCCTCAGAAAGAGCTGGAGGTGGTATTTTCAGGTCACGGGGCTCTTACCCAACAGCAATGGGTCTCTGGGTCATCCCCAGACTCCGAACTGGCAGACGTCACGCTCGTGTGCAGATGAGGCACCGTGTTGAAATGCAGGATTCTGGGCTTCTCTCCCAGAGATTCTGATGCAGGGGCCTGGGCACGTCCCAGGAATCTGTGAGCCTTAGCCGATTCTGGAAGGCTTGCAAACTACGGACGTCTCTGACAAGCCCTGCCCTGGGACGAACTAACCCTTTCCAGGTGTGAGGAGGGAGTTGCAGTGGCTGCCTCGGGAGCCTAATGTCATAGGGCCCCTGCCACGCCGTCACCTTGATTGGCCACAAGCCTCAGGGAGCAGCTCACTTCTGCGACCTTCTCGTCCTAAGGGTCAGAGCAGACCCTTGGCCAGAGATGCCCTCACCTTGGCAATGAGGCCTGAGGCAAGGAGAGGGCCGTACTACCCTCTGTCCCTCCCCTGCAGTCTGCCTGCGGGAACCAGAGGGTCAGTCTTCTGGTCACAAACCTCTGGAGGACGTGGCACCAGCTGCAGTTGAAGGTCAGGTCCGAGGACATGCAGGTGTCGCAGCTCCGATGCTGCAGGCAGGCTGCAAGAGAGAAGGCAGTGGCCCCTTAGAGCCAGGCTCTCCACAGGCCTCCGAGAGGCGCAGCTTTCCTGAATGCTGAGTCCCTACTGAACCACGCAGTCTCTGACCAGCAGGGACCCTACAAGTCATGGATCCCACCCTCACTTGAGTCCAGTCCTGATTCTTCCATCTGTCTCTTCCTTTTTCCCTCCGTTCCTTCCTTCTTTCTATCTCCTGGGAGTTCAGACCCTGAGCTGGTGCTGGGGATTGAACAGTAAGGCCCAGTTCCTGCCTTCTTGAGCCTTGCAGTTGTATGGGGAGACCGACACTAAACAGATAATCGAACAAAGATAACCACATACATGATCATTATTTCGATGAGGTGTATGAAGGAGAATTACAGGGCACCATAAGCACGTACAAAGGGATATCACCTAGTCTGGGAAGTTATACTCTGGGCCATTGCCTACAATTACAGGGTTGAAAGGGAGTTTTTAAAAAGTTGAGCCCTGGTTGGTGTGGCTCAGTGGACTGAGTGCCAGCCTGCGAACAAAAGGGTCACTGGTTTGATTCCCAGTCAGGACTCATGCCTGGGTTGTGGGCCAGGTCCCCAGTAGGGGGCGTGTGAGAGGCAACTGCATACTGATGTTTCTCTCCCTCTCTTCCTCCCTTCCCTTCTCTCAATAAATAAAAGTAAAAAAAAAAAACACAAAAAAATTGAGATATATTTAACAGATTTGAGTAAGTTTAAGGTGTCCAACATATTGATTCGATACATTTATATTGTGTATGATTGTGATTTCAGTGAACACCTCTGTTACGTCGCAGAACTATCATTCTTCCATGTGGTGGGAACAATTAAAATCTAGCCTCTTAGCCAGTTTAATGTTTACAATACAGTTTGGAGTCTATAACCACCGAAATGACTTTTTAAGATGTCCCGGTTTGACCCCGGGCAGAGCCGGCCAGGAGCGCTCCGGCCGGCCGTGCGAAGGGGCCGTCTCGGGGTCCCGCTCCTGGCCTCCACGCGCCTCCTCACTGGCCTCCGCCCAGGGACGTCTGAGTGCCCCGCTGCGAGGGCAAACCACACACAGACTTCCACTCCTCCTCCGTCCTCTCCTCCTGGGCGTGGGCCACCCCAGGGGCTGTGCGGCGTCTCTGTGTTCCCAGGCTTACATCCTACTTGGGAAGTTACTCAACCCCTTGGTGCCTCAGCACCTCGTTTATACACGAGGGGTCACGATGCTGTAGCTGCCAGGCAGATGTGCTGGGAGGGTGATGGGAGGTGATACCCGGCGGGGGGTCTAGCCCAGTGCCGCCACGTGGCGAGCCCAGTGGGTGCTCCTTGTTGGTACTGACTGTGGCCTTATTCACTCCTCTCAACACTCCTGTCGGGTATTCATTCACGCATCCATCCCCCCCATTCATTCTTCCCGTAAATATTTAGTGCCCTCACGGGGCCTGCTGAGTCTTGGAGGAAACGGCTCGTGCACACACGCACGCGCACACACATACCGACACTAGGTTCCTGGTGGTGAGAAGGGCTGTGAAAAAGCAGAGCAGAACATGGAGGGTCTATGACGGGGGGATGGGTTCTATTCAGGGAGGCTGGGGAAGGCCTCTGAGGAGAGGAGGCTGGGGAGCAGGGAGGAAGCAAGCCGGCAGAACTCCTAGGGGAGAAGTCCAGGCAGCAGGGCACCTGTGCAGAGGCCTGGGAGGAACGTGCCCCAGGCGTGTTCTCAACAGCAGCCAGAACACGAACAGCCTGGGCCGCCGAGTGGGGAGGCGGGACCCCCTGGGCAGGGTGGAGTTGGGGAGCAGGGGAGTTAGTGGCAGCAGGGTGCTAGAGGGAGCGTGGACCCTCCTGGCACCAGCCAGGCAAGAAGCAGAGAGGGTCAGGGGAGCGGGAGGGGCAGGGGCTGGGATTTAAGAGTTCTTCACTTGCAGGCAAAGGCCACCCACTCAAGTGAACCAGCACGACCTCTGAGTGGCAACCAGCTGCCACAAAGCCTGTGCATTTTACTACAGGGAGAGACAGCCCCTCACCTGGAAGAGCTGCAGTGGAAGGGCTCACCTGGTGAGCAGACAGGCTGATTGCAGCAACAGGTGAGAACTAACTACAGAAAAACGATCAACCGTTCGATAAACATGGCACGCATGTCTTCACTATATGAGTTTCTGTGGGACTCTATCCATCACTTAGGGAACCAATTTGTACTCCACGGACCCCTATGAGATGGGAGCTGGGAACCAGGCCCAGGTGGGTGGGAGAAAAGCTGTCGTGGGCACAGAGTGGTCGCCTTTGGGCGCATTGTGGGAGGGACTGACTGTAGGTGGCTTTATGTCCTTCTGTCTGTCAGGTCTTTGCAGGCCTCAAGGCGGGGATGGAGGGCCTGGGGCTGGAAATGAGCAGAAAGCAGCCTGGCCTGAGGATGGGAGCTGCTTGGTCCCCTGACGTGTCCAGAGGGCCTGGAACGGCGCCCGGCACGTGGGAGGCGGCGAACGTGTTTACTGAACTGCTATGTAGATGCTTTGTCATCCTCATCGAACCAAAGAGGGAACTGAGGTTTGCAGAGAGTCACTGAGTTGGTCTGGGTGTGAACCGAGGTCCGTCTGAGCGGAGGGCCTGAGCTCTTAGCGTCTGTGGGGTCCCTCTGCCCAGCGCCCACTCTCAGTCCACACTACCTTCTCACAAGCCTCTTCTAGCCATAGAGGGCAATGGCTTGGAGATGGCCCACGCACACCTCTGGAAGAACCTTGGGTAAGACCTCCCTTGCCCCAAGGTAAGGGAGCGAGCCCGGGCTGGGGGATGCAGAGTTTTCTGAGGACAAAGCTCATTGACCTCCCAGAGGCTCCAATCACAGCCTTGGGAGCACTGGCCCCTCCCCCACCAGCTGTACCCACCTGGGAGCCCATGGCCTGGTCATTCCCAGTGATTCTGGAGGCCCCTAAATGGCTCTAGTTAAACTGAAATCAAACCCTGGGAGCCTCCTGGGGTGTCCATAAAGCCTGCTGACCTTTCTCTCTCATCTGCATTTCAGATGTCCTGCATGCCATTAAATGCTCTCGAAATTCACTGGAGGGGTGGGAAGTGGCTCAGATGTATAAACTGTGTCCCAGAATCGCATTCCCAAGACAGTTCGCTCCTTCCGCCCCGGGAAGTTTGCCCTGTCCTTGGATGTCCTTGCTCCTACGTGAAGTTTTATTCAAGTCCTTGAGCTGAGGTTTGTGCTCACCAGTTCCGGAGAGACCGCGGGTTTTCAGGCCCAGGCCTCTCTTGCCTGGAGGGAGGGCGGCTGGGGGTGGGGCTGAGACCTGCACGTTGTCTTAACTCTGTGACCCTATGATGTCTGGGGTCTCTCTTCTTTTGAGGGGATGGGGAGGACACCTGCTGAGAGCCCAGACTGAGACACGTGGCCTAACATTTGAGAAGCCTCCTCCACTTCTTTTCCCAGCCCCTGCTCCCAGAACCTCCAGGGAAGAGGAAAAGGTGTGGGTGGGGGAAGCAGGCAAGGAATGTCCCAGAGGGCAGGGAAAGGCTTCGGAAGCTGGGAGCCACTGTGAGACAGAAGATGAAATTAAAACAAAATCCTCCTTAAAAAATACAAGAATTAGCCCTGGCTGGCGTAGCTCAGTGGATTGAGCATGGGCTGCAAACCAAAGCATTGCAGGTTCGATTCCCAGTCAGGGCACATGCCTGGGTTGCAGGCCATGGTCCCCAGCAACCGCACATTGATGTTTCTCTCCCTCTTTCTCTCTCTCTCTCTCTCTCTCTCTCTCTCTTTCTCTCTCCCTTCCCTCTCTAAAAATAAATAAATAAAATCTTTTAAAAAATACAAGAATTGGAGTGCGGTCCCCCTGTCCCTCAGTCTCCCCAGCTGCTCTGACCAGATCCTGAAGAGCTTCTGGCCCTGATCCTGCGGCGTCCACAGCAGCAGCGAGGGCCATGGCAAGGCATGCCTTCCACTGCGGGTGAGCAGGGTCCAGAGCGGGGAGGGGGCCAGGGCCCTGTGGTTCTCGGAGAGGGGCCTGCTAAACCCTTTCATGGCCTTCTGCCTGTGGGCTCCAGCCTCCCCCCGCAACTAAGGAAAACACAATGATAAACTGTGGATCACTCAGTTCCGTTCCTGGTTATTCTTCCTGGGGCTCAGTCTAAGTTCTCAGAGGCACGTGATTCCTGGGCTTCAGTTACGTGTTAGTGACAATAGCTGTCCTCTGTCAAACACAAACCACACCTGGGCCTGAGAAGGGCCAGTTAGCATCAGGGCTGGCATTTATGTCCTCAGGGCTCTGTCCTGAGGTTCTGACCCTGACCAAAGTCCTGGGAGGGAGGTGGTGTTAGGCCCATGGGACAAATGGGAAGTGGAGGCCCAGAGGTGTGAGGTGGCCATACCCACACAGGGGCCAGGGGTGGGCCTGGGAATGGCACTCAGTCTGTTTGACTCCAAAGCTCTTTCTAGGACACTACTGTCCCAGGCCTCCTTCCCCCGTCAGTGGGGACCACCCCTACTTACTTGGCAAGGGGGTGAACTCCACAGCCGACCTGCTGGTGACCTTGCTGGGGTCCAGCTCCACGCGGTGGTATTCAAAGATGGCCCTCCGCCGGGATTCTGAAACAGAGGCAGAGCCGACCTGTCAGCAACAGCTTGCAGGGACAGGGCTTTGGGGCCTGTACCGTGAGCCCGAGGGTGGGCAAGAGATTGTACTGAGTGGAATTGGGGAAGAAGTGAACCCGTCGGACTGGGGTAATGACACTGGTGCTGCGGGGAGACAGGAGGGCAGGGGCTGACCTTGGGAGAGCTCTGTGTTGTGAGCAGGTTTAACTACCCCGCGCAGAAGCCTGGCTGCTCCTGCAGTCAGGACATGGGCGATCCCACGCTCCTGCGTGTCTCTGTATCTACACAGCTGCTGCTCCCTTGACCCATAATGCATTTCCATCCCTTCTCTCCCTGTCAAGCTCATCCTACCCCTAATTCAAGGGCCACTTCCTCTGACACCCCCCCTGGACCGTGCCCTCCTCTTCCCCACTCAGGCCAGGTGCCCTCTTCCCACTGCATTCCCCACCTGGCGCGGTTATTAGATTTTACTTGGAGGGTGGGTGAGGGGCATTGGGCTGTGAACATCTGGTTCTGAACCTGACCCAAAGTGAGCACTCTGCACATGTCTGTGGATAGACAGGCTGACCTTGGAGAACCTCTTCCCTCCTGGACGGAGGCCAGAGTGAGGCTCGGGGCCTGGAGCCAGGCTCATGTCCTGCCTCGGTCCCTGCAGAAACTTCCTGCAGGGCCTCAGAGTCAGGAAAGCCCGGTTCTGATTGGAGTTCTATTCCCGACTCACCGCACAACCTTAGGGCCTGAGTTTCTTCCTTTCCTTCCCTTCCCTTCCCTTCCCTTTCTTTTCAAAGATTTCATTTATTTATTTTTAGAGAGAGAGGGGAAGGGAGGGTGAAAGAGAGAGAGAGAAACACTGATGTGAGAAAAATGCATCCATCAGTTGCCTCTTGCACACCCCCAACTGGGGAACCGGCCCACAACCCAGGCATGTGCCCTGACTGGGATTCGAACCTGGGACCTTTTGGATCTCAGGCTGTCACTCAGTCTACTGAGACATACCAGCCAGGGCAGCCTCAGTATCTTGTCTATAAAGCGGAAAGACAAAAACACCTGCTACAACATGCTTTGCAGGAAAAAAACTGGAATTGTAGATGAAAAGACTTTTGCTAAAGTGGCAATCCAAGACGCTCTGCTGTTTCCCACCACACCCCCATTCTCACCCAAGAACCACAACTTGGGGTTGGTTTCGTTTGGCTCTGAAAAGCAGGCAGCCAGCCACTGAGCTTTGTGAATGAGTCCCCTATGAGGGGAAAGGGTCACTTAGTGTTTGGTCAGCGTAGCACCCCTTCTTATGGATTGCTCCCTCAAATCCCTTCGGGGGTACTTCCCCCAGCCCCTTCCTACATGTGGTCTGCAGGAGCTGCCATCTTCCATCTTCCTCCATGACCCTGCCTCCCTGGCCACACAGTGATTGGTCCAGGGCTGAGCATCTGATAGAAGCTGGACCAATCACGGACCTTCCCCAGGACTTTTTCAACTGTAACCAAGAGGCCCGCCCTTTGCTCTTTAGTAGTAAAGCTAAGATGCAAGCTTGGAATCCGAGAATGGCCACAGTTCCAAGCTCCAAGCTCATGGGGAAGGCCAGAGAATGAGGAAGTGCTGGTGGCATTCCGGGATCTGGAAACCCAGGTCCTGCCCTGGTCCCTGTCCTAGCAGCTGTCAGCTCTCCTTTGGCTCTGTGGGCTACTTCAGTATCCCCAATGTAGCCATTTTTCCACATAAGCTGGTGTGAGTTGGTTTCTGTCACTAAAGCCCAGAGTAGGTGAGGATATGGTTTTCTCCTTCAGCTGAAGGTGGTTTGGAGGAAAGTTTCCCAAGGCCACAGTAGAACTCAGTGGAGGCGTCCATGAAAGAGGGGGTATCCTGTGCAACTGCTGGGTGCCCCATCCCCTGCTCCCCATCCTTTATGAAGAACCTGGGTGGGGGGTATCTGTGGCCTAAAAGAATAGCTCATCTACGTTTCTTTCATTTATTTTTATTCCCCAGTCTTGGAATTGTTCCCGCCTACAGGATTGAACCCCAGGTGGTGGGAGCTCTCTCCTCCCACTACCACCACACTGCCCCGCTCACTGCAGAGTCACGGTGGACGCTTCAGCCCCCGAAACACTCGAGACCACAGAATGTCCTTGAAATACGTGCCATGCAATGAAAAGGAAAGTGCTCTGGCCTTGAGGCCAGCAGAGCTGCCCGGGAACTAAACAGGAATCTGGCCTCCTCGCTCACGCGTCACTAGGAGGGTTTGCCTGTTACCCATGGGTCGGGTCTGCTTTGGGCCGAGGGGAGGAAGGTGTAGACCAGACAAGAACGTGGAGGGAGAGAAGCCCTTCGGCAGGAGAGGGGCCACACAGGGAGGGGAAGGGAGGGAAGGGAAGGGGAGGGGAGGGGAGGGGAGGGGAGGGGAGGGGAGGTTCAGGCTCTGCCCTCACTGTCTGCGGGACCTCGGACGAGGGACTAAACGGAGTGAACCCCATCCAGAAATGGAACTAGTTACTCTGTACTTGTGGGGCTGGTCTGAGAATTAAAGCGGGCACCTTAGGCAAAGCACCTGGGCCAGAGAAGCCGCTTAAAGTAGGAGAGTTCCTCTTTCTTCTCACCACCTGCTCCCTTCGTGTGTGGGGTTTTCTTGGGACCGAAACTCTGCGGCATTTTCCGTCTCTCCCGACCCCTCAAACTCTACTCTGGCTGAAGAATGTGAGGAAAGTTATTTTCCCTCCCTGCCTCCCCCAGCCACCCCATGGCAGATTTTCTTATCGATGACTCTTGAGTGGGACCCTCGGTTCCTCAGCAACTGCTGAGGACACTGTGGACAGACCGACCCCCTGAGAGGCAGCCTGACCACGGGGCTCTGCCGGCATCTGGACATCCCAACCACCCCATCCTCGCCCTCCCTCCCTCAAGGGCCGTCCCTCCACCGCCCACTGTGGGCCTCTCCCTTTCCCCCTTTTGGTTCCCAAGGTTCAGCCAGCTTGTGTTTCCTCCACCCTCCACCCTCGTCTTCCTGGTCCAGATTGGCTTTCGCATCCCCCGGAGAATGAGCTAACAGGAGAAGTGGGGGGAGATCAGTGCTCAGGTGGTGAATAGTCCTTGAAAATCTCCCAGGCCACTCCGAGGACTCCTCAGAGAAGACTGTGGACTTAGCCTTCATTTCCTGTCAGGGAGGGTGACCACACCAGCCCACGCACCCACGGCAACCTTCCACCTGGACCCCTGGATTGGAGCTGGACAGTTTATAATGAGATCCAGGCCTCCTGCTTTTTCCTCTCTTCCTTCCATTGCAGGCAGATCAGGGGACTCGCTGCCTCTCTCAGGAGCCTGGCTGGAAAGGGTGGGTAGGGGAGGGGTCCTGGAGGGTGCCCAGAGGGACGCCCCGTCCAGTGTACCTGCAAGGGGGCTCACAGACACAGGGGCTGTGTGAGTGACAAGATAGGCGTATCAGGTTGAGAGCTGCAATGACAAGTTGTCTTGCCATTCATTTCATGAGTGAGGAAACTGAGGCCCAGGGAGATTAGCCCATGGATTGTAAAAGTTCGTATAACACTTCACAATTTTCCAAGCCTATCCACAGCGTTAAATGGAAAAAGGGCTACTTAATGAGAAAACGTACAGGGAAGCACAGCCCACCACGCACCACCACACTCATTCACCCGTTCAACTCGCAGAGAGACTTGCACGGGCCAGGGGGCGGGGCCGGGGCCAGGGGGCGGGGCTAAGTCCCGAGCACACAGTGAGGAGCAGGAAGGACCTGGCTCTGCCCCCATGGGGCTCACACTGCTGGAGGGCCCCTGGATCTGACTCCTCTCCCTTCCTCTCACACCTTTGTGAGGTGCACGGACAGACAGCGCTGTTCTCCCCTTTTCACGAAGGAAGGGAGACCCTACAGGGGACTCGTTTGCCCAAAGCCACACCGTTTTTGTTTGTTTGTTTTTGCAGAGCCCAGACTTAAAGCTCAAGCCTCGGTGCCAGGGCAGCTCCAGAAAGTCACCGAGGTGCGTGTAGAAAAATATTTATCAACCCCTGGCTCCTGGAAGGGGGCGTGGGGAGACGCAGAGGCAGGGTGGGGGCTTCATGCGTAGCATCTGTTGATTTTTGTGGCAAAATGACTGGATTTCAAGCTACCAATCTGGAGTCACTGAGCACAGAACTTCCACAAGCGTCTCCGGCACACGACTGTTTACAGCTGCATTTTAATTTAGGAGTCCAAAGGAAGCGTTTATAAGTTTTTAAAAAATCATTAAGCAGATGCCCAAAGACTTAGTAATCATGTGTGTATTATCTCCTGAACAACCACAAGCCTGAGAAAGAAGAGGCCCCATAGGCAAACCTCACACCTGTCAGGCAGTAACTGCCCGCTGTTCACAGGGCTACTAGGGTGCTAGGGAGGGCAGAACCACCCCTCATCAAAAGCTGAGCGAGGCTCACAGAGCCCTGTATCATGCACACGCGTGCACACACCAGACTTTTTTTCTGATACAAGAAAGGCCCCTTGCCAAGCGGGAATGGGGTCTGAGACTGGGTGAGGAAGGGCGCCCTGCTGTAATTCCTCTGCCCAGAGGCGGCGCCAGTGTTCAGTGCTCATGAGGGCCCTTCCTGTGTGACACCAACTGCTGTGATGTGAGAAGGTGGCCTGGGCTTTAAGTGACCCTGGGGGATGTGGAACAGCTAGGTGGAGGATGAGGAAGCTCCAACCAGCCTTTCACAGCTCTGTCCCACCCCCTGCCGGGGCCATCTCTCCTTCTGAAAAAACACCCCTCTCCGCACCGGAATGTACTAGAAAAAATAAATGTGAAACTTCATGTCTTCCGAGGTGCCCAAGGCCATGGGGTCTAGAGACCATGTAGACTTTCCTTCCTTTACCTGCCCATCCTTCCGGGCTTGGGAGCAGTTAGGGGCCCCTCCCCTGAGCCCCACTGCTTCCTGGGCAATGTCCGGGGTCACCTGTGACACCAACCCATCAGTATTTACTTTGCGGGCCACCTGCCCCACCAGGCTACAAGTTC